GCATTAGGTTTCTCAGTTGTGTCGCTTACCATTATTTGACCATCTTCATAATCCACCTGGTTAGAGATTAGGTTACACTTGTGACGCCAATAGGAATTTTGACTCAAGCTTGATTGATTGGATCTCTCAAGGCAAATGCTTATCTACTTTCTGAGATAATAACGAATCAAATTGTTTTTCTTGTTAGTTCATTGTTGACACGGAACCTGAGAATGTCGTAAAATCATTTTTGGTGCGCGACGTGAATTGCTACTGTCCCGTAACCGTGGAAAGCCCAGCGAAAAAATCGAACAAAATATAAAATACTCCAGGAAGAGATCTCAATAATAATAAGAAGGAACTGCAAACTTTTTGTGCCAAAAGAGTTCACAGAATTACCATTTAGACTACAATTAAAATCCTGCACTCGAGTTCGATTATGCGGAGCGATCGATTAACTTGACATTATATTACTTTTTAAGTGATCTAATACTAACTAAGTAACTATTGCGAATTCTCCATCCGATACTGCAGTTCAACTTCAACTATTTCAGTCAGTTGGCTTTCACCGAGAAACGTAAGTAGACCTACGCCCCACTTTCGATTACGGCGATACTTCAGTTACTCGAATATAAGCAGCCTATCCTCATAGATTTCCCGCACACGCTTTAGAATTTGCTTTTACTGGCTGGTAGCGAACGAGGAATTATTTTTGCAAAAAAAAATGCAATAAGTGAGTTAAATACTGTACGATGTATGGAGACTAAATTTTTAAATGCATCAGCTATTGCTAGAGGTATGGCAGCAAATGAAATCTATACATTTTCCGATCAGTAGGGCAGTGGTTAATATATACGTGCGGAATTTCAGTGCGGAAGATTGGTACAAAAATCAAAATTAGCATTTCATCATTACTGCGAATCAACCCCTATTACTAAGTCGAAACACTTACCTCATCACGTTCACGCCTGCATACTGTCGCCGTTTGAATCTGGATGCAGGGACAACAAGGCTCGCTCTTAGAGTCCGCGTGTCTAACTACGTCGCTGGTATCGCTCCTTTGTTAGCGGACCTTGGCCCGCTAGAGGGATACCATCATACTCATTGAGGAACCCAACGGCAGATTTCGATTTAGACAACCTGTTTTCGTATATTTTCTCCCATGAAGCAGACCTAACTATGGCTATTTTAGACTAACACGACTAGCAAGTGCCAGACTATACTGATTGGCTAATGTATTGATAAACAAGATTTATACGGGAAACTTTAGAATTAACGAACAATCAACGTCAAGGACAGTTTCGTTATGCTTAATTGAGAACTTTGGCATTGTCTCATTGCTTTTTGCTGTACGGCTTGTCTGACATGAAGCTGAATACCCCATAAGAATATACGTACTGAATTAATCTTATAGTGTTTACGTGTGAACATACAATTGCTTTTTAAGTAAAACTGATATTACTTATTTTCAGCGATCATGTATAGACTCAAATGTATTAAAGCTGTTTGAGAGATAATATACAAACACTGAATATACGATAGTTACTTACAACTTTCACGTGTGTTCAACAAGTGGCGCAACTCCGTGCGCCCACTAACTTGAATTTAAGTGTACATTTCTTTGAATGCGTTGCCATGATTCCTATGAACTAAGAAACATACAGCTACGATGGCTCAAATCTCAACGTTGGCGACCACCAAAAATAACGGCCAGGGTCTAAGTAGAGTAAGGAATTACGGAGAAGAAGAAATAACTATTAAGGTTAGCAACTGCTTGTTGGTTGCCACGCCGTTTAATATATTTGATGGAAAATTTCCAGACAAACCCAGCAAGATCAAGTTCAATTAGACTCCTAGAAATAGGCTGCATATTCTTTTAAAGACTGTGTATGTGCACAGTTCTGTCGCGTTCGGTCTTCGCTAATTTGTTTCTAAAATGTTCTTACTATTATGCCTGTCTTTCTCTAGATGAAAGCCATGTTCGAAAGCTGTACGTCCATCGAAGTCCGCCTCTTCCCAATACAGTTCCGTTGTGTTATTGAACCCTTGTCTGTCGGTAAACTGAATTTCTCACGGATATTATGAAAGCAATCCGGTACGTCCAGTCGCCTACAGAGATCTATAATGACGCCAATGGCATAGGCAAAGCATCATCACCGAGCGTGTGGTCAATATGGTTACATCGTTATAGGGTGCGTCTCAATGAAGAGTGTGCAAAACTTAAGCAGTACTGAAGCAAGCTTAAACATTAGTAAAAGTGCTTCATATTTGGTATCAGGCAATCAAGGTTTTCTTCACCGGTGACGGCAGAGAAAGCAGCGAAATTGATAGCCTCGATGGCACTTTCAAATCATAAAATAACTTTGCGGAAACTCTCCTACAAAAATGAGAGTCTTCACAGTGAGGAATTCCAGTACACGTCTAAATCTTTTGACATGCGGTGCTCCTAAAATAAATGACAGGAGAAAAACAATGGCTCAAACCAATGACAAGGCAATCTTAAACAAACTAACTGTATAGGCGCAAATGATGCGGAAGATATAAAACTTATTCACGTAATACATCTAGAAATTAGTTTGGTGAGAGAAAGAAAAAAAAAAAGCAAAATGTCTTCTAGGAGAAATAAAATGTTACCAATGCCAGCCGGAAAGACGCGTGTAGACGATGCGTGGCTGCGAGGCTAAACACGTACACGTTATGGCTTTTGAAGCAGCTTCCTCAGAGTTTGAAAAAGATCGGGAAATACCTTCTATGTACAATCATCAAATAGAATATCTCTAGCAATTATAATGAGCTTAGTTGAGTACAACGCCTTTTCGATGTACTTCACATGATTTCAATGAAGTGGGAATACTTCGTGAAGGCCGACAATACTGTGTTAAATAGAGAGATCGAAGTAGGCTTACAGGTTGAGTCGCCATCCGGACATAAAGAAGCGATTTATCATTAGGTTGTGTTCGCTGAACTCTCGTCGAAATCGTTTACAGTGGAGAAAATAGCAGCCGAACTTCCTCATTGACTTGGCTAAGATTGATTTTTGTTAAATGGAGTTTTTATTTTACCGTGCAACAATAGTGGTAGGCCAATTCAGCCTATATAGAATCTCATACAACAACTTCTCAGACGTATGAGATACGTTGTTAAACGGGTTAAGTAAAGCATACATCAAGTATATCCGTAACAGTAGGTCAACTGCCTATGATAGTTCGATGGATTGAGACAAGTGAGTCACCTATATACAGTTTAGCATCATTCATACGGCCGTAAATAATCTATATTGCGACGATGACTCGTGCTTTAATGAACGCATATAAACATCTGTTAATGCTCGAACATTCTCTTAATTGTGAGCCTATTCTAGAATACTACCGTGGCCCATCAGTTCTCGTAACCCTTTTCTTTCAGAGAACCTATCACGAATAAGCTATTCGTACAGGCGCAGTTATCTACAAGAGTGTTTTAAATTTGTAAACAAATGTGCGGCCTTTTAAAACATCGGATCACACCAGTCCACAGCTGCCACCATCTCGAGCATGGTATTATATATTGTTACGATCTCCTACGTTTCCTAATCAGCTCTAGACGAAAAATAGTTACATAAAACATTTTATTTACGCCATTTGTAGATCGTAAACATTATATCTAATTAGGCAATTGCAGCATTCCAGAATAGCAGAGCTCCCTTTAGCTCTATTTTTTTTTATTATTTATTATATTATTTAGTTTATTAAAGTCTGGTTAATTTGTGGGAATCATTCACTTTCGAATGCATAGCTATACGAAATATTCCAAAAAAATCTGACAGAAAAAAAACTAAAGCAAACTAAAATGTTTACGATTAATCCGTGACAAACATGAAGTATTCCTCGTAAAAAATTGTATAAGTATTGAAAGGAAAAGGTCGGAGGCCTAAGAAATAAAAGCCACTCTAAAGGTATGGGAAAAAATGGGAGAACAGCCAATTTTTTTGTTGTTTCACAATGTCCGTTACTGTACATTACACACGGTAAAAATTTAAAGGCTTAAAAAAGCCAAAGCTTTTATAAACTGATTGTGGCCTTTTTGCGTCGTACTGCCTCATTTATTTCTGCTTAGCTAGATCTCACCTGAAAAAGCAAAGAAATTCGATTTATGCAAATTATTCGAAGTATTTTACTCGTAAATTTGCTCATAGATCGACTACTCGTTAGTAAGGGTGTATTGGATTTAGCATCATTTTAGAACACTATAACATGGCAGTGCTTCATAACTTTAGGAGAGTTTATAGTTTCTTGCACTGCGGATGATACTAATGACAAGGACGACATCCTCAAAGGAATGGGACCCGAAGGAAAGCTTCTCCTGCTTAATCCGAATGTATATATCCAGAAAATGTGCCCAGTAACTATGTTTGAACACTATTTTATGTGAAAATATGAGTGTACACAATTGAATCTGTTTTTTAAGAAGGTAAAAAATTTACCTTCTTTACCTTAAGAAGATTAATTATTCTCTTCCCTAACTATCTATAATCCTTTATTTAGAATTTTTAGGTATTTTGAGCATGTACAATACAGATTCGTTGGTCGACCGGTAATTATGTGCGATTGTGTGTATTATAAGTCAATATTATTGTAATAACGTTTTTAGCCTTGGTAAGTGTCCTACTGTGTGCATAAAAGGCAACAGTATAATGTATTTTTGAATTTAATTGATTTAAGGTGAAAGCAAAACCATGTTGCTAATATAAAAGGAAAATAAATATCTAACGAGAGGCCTTCCTTGTTGATTAACACGGAAAAAAAAACTCTGTAACGAACAAACGCCAATATTTTTGTCAGTCATTCGCATAATATTGGTAAGGCGAGAAAAAGCCCAAATTTTCTTATGCTTAGCATACGATAAACCATATATATCATAAAAGTGTACTTATATATCAAATTTATTTATATACTAATTTCGGACTTATAATAAGCTCAAATATTCTGCAGTAATTTCTGTATATGTCCTGTTCATGTCTGGTTTTAGGTAACCATCATTGCCACATTGAGGAGATCCTGAGAGCCTACCGCACCCTGGCAGTTAACTTTGGCAAAATTGTTTTACCTAAAAAGAACCAGCGAGCCAGCCAGACTAAGCATCACTACGAAAGGAAATGATAGTACGTAGTTATATAGTGTTTTTTATTCCTCTGAATTTGCATTCATTGCTCGGTAAATGAACTAAACATTGTATATACATATATTTTAATTCTTGTCGCAGTAGGCTGGCGACCATCAAAGAAATCGCTAGCAATTGCGAGTGACGTAAGACTGTAAGGCATTGAAAGAAGCAACAGGGACACGGAGGCAGGAGGCTCGGTCGAGTTAGCGACGCTATCTTGGACGAGGCAGACCAGACGTGTCATACGGAGAATAAGCGGCCATATACCATACGAAGTTGCCAGATTCGGACCGTGGCTCCGGTTACGTACTATAACGACGGACGAAAGCGGGATGGCGCCAGAACCGGTCGACGGTAGCGCGCAGCTACTAGGAGCTAACCAGCCGGAAATCGTTGTACTAGAAACACAAAATCACTCACGTACAGAGTTGTAGAGGGCGCAGCCGCGGGGGATGTGAGAATAGTGCGTGGGCGCAGGACGGTTGTCGGCAACAGCCGAAAACAGAAACAGCTGCGATCACATGAGCCACGACCTGATGTCGCTGCTAGTACCGGGAGTTGCCCCGAAGGTGCCAACACAATCAGGCTTCCAACTGGCTAACCCCTTGAAGCGAGCTTCCGTGTTCCAAACTAATCCTCAAATTTCGTGCTTCTTACCCATGTCCGAACTGACAGTTGTCAGTTGTCTTCGTTACGTATTATTCATTTAAAATGTGAAAGAAACGATAGAAAATATTTCTAATTACTGCTCTATTTTTGTGCTTACTTATTTATTTAGAACAGCTAAGTACGAACTTTTGCTCGATGTTTGCACAAAATTTCAGTAGTTTTATTTGTAACAATCACATCAAAAAAGGCATAAATGCAAAAGATATTGAAGATCAAAGCCTTTGACGGAAGAAGTAAACAGGAAATTATCGTAAGAACTTGAACTGTGTATATTCGTTCGAACTATTATTGTACCAGGTATTGAAATAACCTACTTCTTGGATTGCATCAATAGGAAACGTTAAGCAATATGAACGTGTGCGGTCCACCCACGAATTACGAAATGCATAGTTATAAAATGATTAGTTCGGTTCCGAGGCTTCAGCACGTCACCGATTGGGATGTTAGATCCGGTTTTTACTTGAACGTAAAGGTGGCATATTTAAAGTATCGTGATTTTCTTAAAATACGCTGCTTTATAATCTCCCATAAACATTAAACAATTCTTATAAACAAACTATAGAATTTAATACGTATTTTCTTTAGTCGCAGCTAATAGCCGAGCGTAGAAACGTATCTCTACATTTCTACGAAGGTTATATCTCTGTTATCTGAAGTGTTCGACGTAAGTTCGAAAGATCGCAAAACCCCTTGCAGGAAATAAAATGTCAGCAGGAAGGTGGAGATCAACGTAGATTTCGTATAACAGTGCTACTTCGGAAAAGATCCGATCGCCTGGGGACACGTTCCATAATCTTTCTTTGAATACCTTCCTTGTACATCCTTGACCAGACGTAAGGGGTCCCGGGGCAGAATTCTCGGAAGAACAAAGGCGATACATATTCTTTCATAAAATCTTTGAACTTGATTGTAAACCGCCGAAAAATCATCTTAAAAATCTTGCTTGTCAATTAAATCAGATCTATTATGTGACTGTCAGCGGTTGGACTTCGACTAGAACATGAAAACCACGAAATATTATATTTCAATTATATGAGTCACTAGGTGTACGGGCAATAACTATAACAACATAAGGATAACAAGCATATAAACAATATAACATTAACAGGTATAACAAGTGACACTAAAAACCATTTGTTGATATCTACCTGCCATCATATTTAGGCTAGCTAGGCATGACTGAGTTCGCAAATTGGAACCTACTAGCATAGCCAGCAATCTGAATAAACATGTAGATTTTCCAATAATTTTTAGGGGATGCTACCAGTTATTATTGTTGTCAATGTATTATAAATATAGGGGAAGGTGGCAAAATTCCATGGCGCTTTGAATGAGCCAATTTAAACATCACTGGCTGACCGATTCACAATAGTACCGATTCGGTGAATCGGCATTGATCTTGTCAACTTTATGCTTGGGCACCCCTGATCCATAAAGCTTTTACATTAACATTGTCTGGTTGACCTGATTATTGACGCGGAAGGAATTAGAATGCTCTGTGTGTAAAACTCCAATATATGTTCTTGTGTGGCTTCTTCTTCTACTTTAGTTCATCGTGACTAACCGGAAATATATTATTTTTCACTGGAGGCATATTAAACCTGTTTACCAGTATGAAATATCACTATGAAATAAGCCAGGGGCTATTACATGTGCCCTTAAGTACTAAAAATGTTATGCTTTAACGAGGCACCTAAATTCTACAGAGATCTTCTACCGCACTTTAAAGGAGGTTTCGGCATAAACATTGTTGTACGCGTTGGGTTTTACCATGTGAGTTAAATACATGATGCAATATGTTGCACAATTATAGAGTTCACTAGGAAAAGCCCAAGACTGAGCAAATCAATGAAGAAGGTTAATAACAGTGCCACCTTACGTCAACTTGTCTACCAAACTTCCATTACATCGGATGGGCTGGTAAAGTTGGAACCGTTTTTTCCTGTGCGATGTGCGGACATATGGAAAATCGGTGTTTAATTTGGTGATATACTATTTTACGGGTAGGAAATAGAAGGAAAGTCTCGGTACTTACAAGCCAAGAGGAATTTAGACTGCTAAAGTCCAAATTGGTATTCAATATTATAGGCTTTTACCTTTCTTTACCTTCCTTTGACGGAACCTTGTGATAATGTCTCTAAGATCTGTCACAGAATGGGTCAAAATTCGCCAGAGGGCTGGAATCAGCTAGAGCAAGTTTTTTTTTTTTTGTCATCGGAACTTTTTATGCTACTATTGGCCAATTATTAATGCGTATTTTCATAATCGTCCAATACCAGATATAAGAAGATTGTTACTTTGTGTACCATGCGAAAACTCAGCTCTGTATGGAGTTTCTATTCTGCTTTCCACATTTTTCAACTTTTCTGAGCATAAACTGATATAAATCATTGACAAGTGCTTCTAGTTTATTTTTAAGGAACGTATTACTATTCATGTACGGTTAAGTCTAGCAGGATAATGTCTACCTAGAATAGACAGATGATAAGTACGTTATTACCGTAGTAGCAATGAAACCAAAAATATAAAAGAAGTCTAATAGTTGTTTGCTTACTTGTGCCAAGTGTAGAAAAGCTGTATATTCATTAATTACAAATCCAACATCTTCAAACTGCACTATTCACCAGTAACTATGATCAAGTACGGAAAGGACCAGTATGGCCATAATACGAATAAAAAGAAAGTAAACGGGACCCTTGGACAGAGACATGATCCATGTGTTTGCCTGTCACCTTAATTTCACGTGTGTGATTTTTTTGGAGATCTATTAATGATGTAGGTCAAATCTAGCAGGTTTCAGTCCCTACAGCCTGCGCGTGAAGCATTTCATCTTTCCGTTGTTTGTCTTGATTGGTCAATAAATTTTAATATGCACGCTCTCGTTTTACCGAGGTTCCTTATTTTTTTGCGTAAAATCAAATGGGTCGTTTCGCCCGAACCCGAGCCAGGTATGCCTGATCACAACGGTAACTTCGCCCGTGGTATTATGGCAGCAGAAAATCGACGTTGGCCTCTATCCGTTCATCATTACGAAACAACGTTGACGTCTGGACTATCGGCACTGAGGAGACCTATGTACGGTTTTTGATAATGTGGCCACATATCAACTACAGGTTTATCTCCTTCATGCCATTCGCCTGGGACGTACGTTTATATTAGCGTCCCTATTCTGTATTACACGTGGAAAATATTCGTTATAACTAAAAAACAGACCTGATTTAATTAATTTCAATTTTTTTTTATATTGTGATTTTATCAAGTGGTTCTAGACGTGGGTGTGCACATTTACGGCACTCTTCATTGTTCCAGCGATGCTTTGGTGCCTCCATCACAATTCAAGATTCTACGAATACAACGAGGTAAGTCAGAAGAATTATTAATCATAAATTACACAATAGGTATCAATATAACAAATGATTATTTACTCTATTAGGGTTAGCCAGTATTAGGTAGTCGTAGGTGATTGTGAGTTTGCCCCCGTGATAGTGCGTTGGCAAGGTGTTTGACCATTAAACAGTAATAGAATAGGTAGGTTATACTTTAGATTTTAATCCAGACGCGGATACGTTTTGCTTCGTGGTAAAAACGAACCGTATAAAGCAATGCCGAAAGACTCGAAAATACGGTTAAAATGCAAAATATGTAACTTTAACTGGTAGATTAGGATGGTTTGAACGTTAAGTACAGCTATTGATATGATACAGTATTAGAACATGCATGAGCCATTGAAGGCGGTACGTATATTCCTGAAGCTTCATCTGGCCGCATACTCTTTAGTTTTTGGTCGCCGTTCGTTGCTATTTCAATGTCAACGTATTCGGGTAATCTCGTCGCCGATTCAACATTGTACCGCAAGTACGATACATCTTCGTCTATGCGTCTCAGCTTGTCTTCTATGGAAGAACGATGGACTGGGAATCTTGGAGAGGAACTGCTTTCAAACAAACACTTGGCGTAAGAAAAGTAATCCTGAAACTCTGGAAGCGGCTCTATATCCACAGTCATAAGCAATACAGTGTAGATAGTTTGCTTGTTTCTATTTATTCTTGTATGATACTTTGCTTTTTATCTGTTTAAACAGGCTCCATGTCTTTTCTTTTGGACCGTTATTATGTCTGGCAAGAAGCTGTTTTCACGGTGTCAAAAAAATTCGATATTTCTCAAAACACTGATAGCAATCTTTATAGGGAGATGTTCGCAGACAGTCGAAGACTATGGAGGCAAATAGCAGACGGCATATTCTGTAGAGAAATATTTGAATTTTTTCGCAGAATTGTCTCTGTTTCTACGCGCCTTGAAAGACTCGTGAGAGTCGTCAACTTGATCATAATAAATTTATAATATGAAATGCATGCACTTTTTTTGGAACAGCACATTTAATGCAACCTTTGTTTACGCGCTCAATCTCAGGAGGAAAGTGGGAAAATGCATACTAAGATCCTCAAGTGAATGAAGGAATTTGACCCCAATAATGACAACTACGTCCTAAAAAGGATCCGGTGAGGTAACCGAGCTCCGATGGAAATACACTTGAGGTACTTCGTGTCGAGGGCCTTATCCCAGAGGAAGCATTGCGACTCTTACGTGTCAAAAGAGGCCTTTTTCGAGTACTCCTCGCACATCGCCCTCAGAAAGGGATTCCCCTACATGGCACGTTTCAATGAACGGTATGTGCTCAACGGAAGAACAAGAAGCTTAATGCTTACTCATGGTCTTCAAATAATTATCCATGCATGTCATGCAAAGTAGAAGTCCGTATTTTTCTGTCAATCTTTTTTTGCTAAAGATATTTAATTAATATTGCGCGCAGACGGTGAAAAAAGAAAAAACTAAAAGTCCGTACAAGTATATTTCCTTATCTATATAGAATCGTTTGGTGAATGCGATGTGGATTCTACGCAGGCTGGATACAAAACCCTAGGGCAAGGAAACGAGTGCACTGTAGAACCTAAGGTTCATATGGGGGACCACCGAATCGTAGGCTTGCATCAAGTGGACGGCGCGGTCTGGGTACTCGGTGTAGATTGGGTGTTGGCCTTTTTTACCTTATTTAGCGACTTCATGCGTAAATGCCGAGAGATGAAGCCGCCCAGATGTGTGTCGTTGCTAAGCGATTCGTCGTTATTTAACTTTCCGTTGGGTACCTCCTTTATTTAACTTAATATGCAATATGTTAAACCCAATTCAAGAAAACACTGCGTCATCAATTGCCCGTGACCCCATGTTCTCAGTCTACCTTCTTTTGCCATAAAATAAGTAAACGTCTTACGCGCCAATTAAGAATTCTGATAGTTACAACTTAATCCGATCGCTTAATTTGCTATTGGTTACCAACTGCTTAGTATTATGAAAGCATCTTGATGTACTTTCCCTAATTCCATGTGTTAACTGACTTACACTTACAGCGGTCACGACTACTCCATTCCTATAGAGTTCAGTAATAAAATCTACGACGCTCGATATGCAAAGAAATCGATGATCAATGCCTAATTTGATTTAAGATTCACCATGAAAACAGGAGCCCAACGGGAGTTCGCATTTGATCAGCCTGCCGAACCATTCCGACACGCTGCCCTTCCCAACAAAACCGATCTCGTACAAGATGGCTATCCATCCAGAAGATATTAATACAGCAGTTCAATGCAGCAGGACACTGCATTATAGAGGCTTCGTGCAGAAGTAATAACGTTATGAATATTGCATGCAATGATGACATTTCCGAGCGCCGAACTTCTCATAAAACAAACGAAGTCTCTGAGTGCTGTGTTCAGATATGCAGATTTTCTTTTGCCAATCAGAATTGTGCGAGTTTAAATCTATTGCAATATGGAAGCTTGTAAATTGTTTGCGATAGTAATACCATAGGGAAATGTGACCCTGAAAAGGGCTTCAGTCAGACATCTAATCTGTTATATTAGCTTAGCTAGACATAACGTGGCACGAGACGATACTTACGAACAATTGTTGTAAGTAAATGACGGGTGGTAGTCATCATTCAATAGGAATTCGAATAAAACACTGCATGGCTAAGGTCCCTACAAAAGGATAGGTTGGTTATTCGTTTACTGTATCAAGCAATGCAAGTAAATGACAGTTAAACTCAGCAGATCGTAATTTGAAAATATATAGGGAAAATATGCTTCGTTAGACTTGGTAACACAAATATACAGAGCTTTGAGTTCGATCTTTGCTATTATGATAATTATTTAATAATAATAACTTGCGCTCTACTATAGCATTAATGGGCGGAAGTTACGGGTACAGTCGGCGACAGGGTTACCTGCACGATGATGCTAAAATCTATTAAGTTCTAAGCTTTTCATTTCAGATGAGACTGTGTTTATTTTTTCAACTATATTATGAATCATTGACCCATTAAAGTCGGCGGTGTAGGATAGATAACATCGCATCCACCTATACCGCTATGTAATATATAGTTAATAGCAGTATTCTATTCATATGTATATATATCTAGGAGAATACGACTTGTCCTAATTACACGTACCAGTAAGAAACCAAATGGATTTCAAAGTAGATGGAAATGTACGTAGTTAAAAGTTAAAGTTTACTTTCTCTAGCCTTCTACGCTTCGTTCAACGACTGAACACTAGGGATAGCTGACGAGCGTCGATATCCTACTAGATGCACAGTGATGAGAGCTAGTTACTCATTGAGCGAAGGCTGCCAATGCGGGGACAATCAAAAAACGTAATTAGACCAATGGCAAGACTCGTTCCCACGCTGAATAAATGTTCAGTATTTGTGGTGGTAGCATTTTACTTTTTTACTAATAATCAATAAATGGGTTTCATTCATTGGTCTTGTGAGAAAAGCTAGCAAATATATTTTTGGTATGATAGTGGTTACATAAAACTAACCCAGCCGGAGGAGATTGTACCTAAGCGTTGTCACTATTTGTTTAGTAGATTGATCTCTCGTCGATCAAATCGCAAAAAAAAACACCACGAAAAACAACCAAGAGCAAAGGACGCAGCGAAAAATCGTTTTTCCTAGACAGGCTTTTGGTCCTCATATAGAACTATGGGAGGTATGCAAAAAGTATCACGCCAATAGCAACGCTTGGATTTGTGGCCATCCGTTGCCAGAACCACTCAGAGGCCGCGTTACTGTCACACTGCCGATCTAGAAAATTTTGACACTTTCGATATGTATAACGCGGGAACGTGTATGTATATATGGCTGATTAATTCAGATGCTGCTCCATGCATGTATGAGACGGGCGGATATCTCTGTAGCAGTTGGGCTGTCGTTGTTTTCGCCATTATATGTACAATCATGTATTTGGCACTACTACGAGTCTCTGAAAAAGCACAACGGATATCATCAGACAGGCTGGTTTCAATAGAAATATAATCTTTATTGATCCTGTACCTTTTTCTTAATACGCTCCGAACTATAACACCGCTGCTGCTGCTGCTGCTGCTGATGATATCGAGCGTTCCTGCCGTTGTTAAGTTTCCTTATCGTTCTACAGCGACAAGTGATAGTTGTTGCTGACGAAATCGTTGCAGTCGCCGAAGGCGTCGCCTTCGACTAAGGCGTTACCATGATAGGTATTCACTATATATCGATGCGACGTTTGCATGCGAGGTGTCGTGAGATAAAAGCGACGCGATGAAACCCCTCGGCGAGACCTGAGTGCGTGCGGCCGAGATGACAAAGGCATCTTCTATAGTCGTGTCGTTTCTGCATTGGCTGATGTATTGATCTGTTGGTTGACTGCCTACCTGTTCTGCTCTACCTAGCTACTTTAACCATGTAACGCAGTGATGAGAAGGACTGGACTTCGTTCCAGAGCAAAAGCTGATCACTTCGAAGCTTTCATAACTGCCCATCATCGACAACTCTGTCAGGCTGTGAAGTGCAAGTGTCTGTTGCCTTCGGATACATCACAGGCTGAACACTTTTATTATCTAAAGCAAGAACTGACAACCCAAACGAGGCAACTTACCGTTGCGGTACATGACGCGAATGGATGGTATGGTTGAAGATACAAGACCGCCCATAAATAACGTCCTCAGTCTAATTAGGGCGCGTGAAAAAAAGAGCTAAACGTAGAAAAAGCAAGACACTAACATTTTTCGTCAACATAAATTTGTCGCCGGATCAATAAGGTGTTAATCTCATATCTCACCATCGTTCTTATTGGGATGACTAATCATCAAATCAGTTAACTAGCGGTAAGTAACTTACTTCCGAACCTACAACTATATTTGTAGTCCGATCCTTCTGATAACTACAGTAATGAAATCTAGAGTAAGGACGTAATAGCCATTTGAGGAGTTCGTTTACTTTGCAGGAAGTACCGTGAGCTAAAGTCAAAAGTAGAAATAGTTCGATGACGAAATGTTAAGTCAGGGTCCTGTTGACTTGACGTATTGGTAGGTAAGAGCACTTATAGCCTTTGTAGTGAGTATAAACAAAGGGCATGCTTCGTAGGGCCCTTACTGTTCAGGGCAGCTTCTGCTCCCTGAGCAATAAGCAAAGAAGCTGCAAGCGCCGTTGTACCTCTTAGCTCTCCCCAAAGGTAAACATAAATTTTTGGGCATTTACGAAGTTATATTGGATAGCAATAATATTGCAGTAGTGAAAACGTCACTGGAATGCGTGTCGTTCTTGAGGACTGCAATACACAGGCTTCAGCTACATTGAACGGCTATTCGGTTCATTTTCCAGTACGTAACTCATTAAGTTTCAATAAGTTTTTACTACCTGAATCTTGGGTTTTGCATATCCAAAGTGAATAATCGCGAGGTATTTCTTTATCAGCACTGTGGTTATGCGCAGATGGTGTTTATTCAGTGAACACTTTTTTTCCACTTTAAAAACACGGTGCTTTACGTAAAAACCAACAATAGCAATGGTTTTGAAATTTGAAAACTAGCATTTTTTATTATCAGCACCAGGCGGAATTTATAAATTGGCATTTCTCGTGCCCAACATGATATGGCAGATTTCTGGCCAAAAAGACCAAGTTAGAATTAAAACTAAAATCATTATTTCCAATTTGTACGAAATGAAGGCTACTTATTTGGACCAACAAGCTAGCCCACAATCGTATAAAACGTTTGAGCTAACATGTAGCAATTCCCACGTGTCAAACTAAAACGAAAAACGTACTCTTTAAACTTAGCTATGGCCTTATAGTGACAACTTGTTTTCAATGGGTATCTCTTCAAAATCCTGTTTGGTCTCCGCGGCAGTTTCCGGCGACAAGTTCTAATCCAGGCAGACCATCTGCAAGCATTTATTTCTCGTACCCCTCAGTCACTAATTTCAAAATACTGGTTGCTTTATTTAATCACTTTATTCCTAATTACCTTCAAACGTAAAAAATTACCAGTGTATAGGCTTACGGCCTTTTGTTTGCCTTATTATTATTATGCTCTGTTCCGAAACCTGTGCACGTAACGCATAATCGTGTTTCCCAAACATGTTTGTATCGCATTTTGAAGTATTAATTGTAGAAATGGCATCACAATATATCTCTATAGTGTAATGTTGCTCTGGACTTGTTATTTTTTTTTCTCGCTATTTTTTAGTTTTGTTATCGAGCAGTTGTATTGACGAATTGTTTGTCTGCTTTGTTTGTCTAAAAGGTGTTTTGTTGTATAAAATAAGAGTGTGTAGAAGAAAAATTAGTTCATACATCTAAAACAACTTAAACATTTCACTCCAAGTATACGAAGTATTTGCATTAGAGATCCGCATGGCACTCAAAAACGACTTTATAATAGTTGCATAGGACATATAAGGCTAAAAAGTCGATCTATACGAACACTTCTGTTGACATCGAACCCGCAATGTAGGTAGCGTTACGCAACAGTGTCCTTGTCATCGTTTAAAGGGTGAAAAAGGAGCATGTTTTAAGCTGCGTACCAATGAAGCTGCATATATTTGAGATTCGATAGAACTTAATAGAAATTCGTTCCCGGGCGTATTACACGCCACACTGTTAATCAAAGTTACTTGTAACGACCAATTACGTTCCAGTCCCTATACAGAGAACTATATATATGTAGTGTTGCTCTAACCGGGTAAGTAAAAACAACGTAAATACTGGTCTTGTGAGTGTCTCACGGCGTTCTACTGCGGACCTAGTAACGTGCTTCACTAAGAATATGTCATCACCATATATATGCACCATATATATGCTGCAAAACTCAGTTTTTCGTAGCGTGTCACCATGAACTTATCTATTAGGCATCACTGAACAACCAGTATACTGCTATATGGCAAATAAAGGTAACGAATTTTTAATACTAATCGATGTATGATAA